AAGACGTTTGCAATTATTTTTTAATTTTTTTTGGTGTTGCGTATGTATAAGGTGACTACTGTGAGGCTGTGATTTTTTTGACTTGATACTGCAATGTGATGTTCAACAATGACAAGTTACGCTGGCGTAATGTGTCAACCCTTTACAGTTTTTAAGTAATTAAATATGTTGATGGCAGCAGTTATTCTTGTCTTCAAATGAATAATAAGACTTAAATGAGAGACAACCACTTACAGTAGTCCATGACACTACGGCCATCAGTAAGTAGCCCTCCATTAGCTAATTCTTTTTCAGTCTAAGGGCAGCAAAGGAGACTGCATTATGCATGTAGCTTCCCGTGCCCAGATATGATATTCATTATTTAGGTCGATATTTATTCCATCTTAAAAAATTAGCAGAAAAACAAACTAATGTTTTTACTTTTTCTCTTTTGTCTTACTGGTACACCGTTTTGAGAAGTGGCTTGGACCGGGCGTGCACGGGCTTGAAGGAGTGTTGGTAGACGCTCGCGAGCCGCCAGTGCTCCGGGTAGGCGTGGCCGGTCTCCTTCGGCCAGAGCGAGAAGGGCTGCGTCAGACTGGTGATGGCGTAGTTCTTCCTGGCGAAGGGCGCGCGCTGCTTGGGCACGCGGACCTCCCTGCCCAGGCTGCAGCCCACGCCGCAGCCCGCCCCGCTGTGCACGCTGGGCGGCGTGTCGAAGCTGCTGTTGGTGCTCAGGCTGGTGGTGGGCTTCCCCGCCTTGAACGCCATCTTGTACTCGGACTTGGGCCGGCGGAGGGGCGGCGGCGAGGTCGGTCGGGCGCACGCCGCGCAGGGCGGGCGCGGGTTGCCGCGCTGCTGGCCGCGGTGGTGGCTCGCGCTGCGCTGCTGGTGGCCGTGCGGATGGCCCTGGTGGCCGGCGCCGCGCCGCTGCTGGCCGCCGTGCCCGCTCAGGTCCGGCATGCTCTGGTGGAAGTGGCGGTGCTTGCGCAGCTCCGCCAGGTGGTCGTTGAGGTTGCGCGGGTCGTCGCGCGTCGTGCCGTCGCCGCAGCCCTGCATGCCCGCGTAGCAGCCGTTGCGCTTGCGGAAGTCGCACAGGTCGCGCGCCACGTCCGCGGGCGCGGGGTGCGCGGGCACGCGGCCGCCGTTGTAGCGCCGCTGCACCGCTGCGCGCTGCCGCTCCTGCGCGTGCAGCCGCTCGTGCAGCTCGTGGTCCGGCGCGCCCGTCCTGGCGGCCTTCTGCTGGCTGGAGCTGCAGCTGTGTACGCTCTCGACGGAGGGCGGCTGTGGCGGCGCCTTCCTGTCCTTGGCTGCGGGCGGCGTGCTCGTGCGGCGCGGCCCGTTGCTCGTCCTCGCCGAAGGCCTGACGTCGTCGGCGTCCCCCTCGTTGTCGGCCGGATGGTGCACCAGGCTGAAGATGCCGGGCGCCTTGCTGCCGTTGCTACCGTCGATGTGCGGCGTCGGCTTGGGTTCGTCCTCCGGGTAGGCGGGCACCAGGTCCCAGCAGATGGCCAGCTCCATTTCGGACACGTGGTCCTTGGCCAGCAGCTTGCTGGGGTGGCCGGTGCTGGGCCGCTGCAGACGCCCCGTCTGGTCCAAAAGGGAGCCATTTTACGACATACACTACAGGTAGGTACACCGAGTAAAAACTTACCTCGGCTGCTGTGGAGACTTACCATTTCAAGCCCGTTCCTTGCCCCAATCGGCGCTGCTGTCTTGGGCCTGTAGACTTTCATTTTGGAGCAATTTGTTGGCCCTGGGGCGTTAAAGGACCGCCAGCCGACGGCAGCCGCATCCGGGACGACGTCGAGCGCTATTCCCGGGTTCGGGTGCCGCTGCGAGTTGAGCTTCTTAAAGAGGTTGTCGTCGACCGTGTCCGGGAGGGGGTTGTGCTCGAGGTTCTCCTTGTGCAGCTGCTTGGCCACCTGGAAGCTCGAGTAGGCGTTGGCGAGGGCCGGGCCGGGGGAAGGGGCGTGGTGCTGAGGTGAGTCCGGTGGCGACTCCGGGTCGGCGGCAACCACAGCGAATTGCGCCCTCGCGTACGGCCTGGCGGGCGGGTTCGGGCCGCGCCGGGGATGGCGGCCGCACTTCAGGGCCGCGCCCTCGACGCGGGGTAGTGACTCGACCTCGGGCTCTGGTGGTGGAGGCGGCGACTCCGGGCGGTCCTCGGCGGGGGCGGCGAGGTCCGTCTCAGTCGTGAACATCTCAGGGTAGCCCTGTTCGCGCACCCGCTCCGGCTCCGGGTAGCTCTGGACTGTGGGGTCGCGGGCAGCGCGCCGCGAGAAACCAGGGTCGACCTACAAAATCGCAAAAATTTTAAAGCAAATTTACCTACACTGTGAAAGGAAAAACGTTGTACTTCTAGGTGGCTGATCCGCGGGGTATGACTACTCGAACGGCGCCGTTAGGCACCCATGGCCCGCACGCGTGTATGCAGTACAGTAACTGCGATAAATGGGAGGGCCGCATCAGCCACTCGGTAAAGTTTAGTTCAAGTTCAAGCAGTGCACTCATGGGTCATCAAGAAAGTACGCCCGTCATTCGCCGATACCGATACGAAACTGCCAAGTTCGGCCAATACAAGCTCTCGTGGCGCCTGATCGGTAGGCAACATCATACCTGCGGTGCACGCGTGCACCGCGGGCTGGCCTACCTCGAGTCTCGCAGGCGCCGAGCTCCAATGCTTCCCTACCTTGCCGAACGAATCCGACAAAAACGGACGTACTTTTAGGACGATCCCTTACGTCTGGGTACGCCGGGTTGCTGGGTTTGAGGAGCTCGCCGCTGTCGTCCTCGAACTGGGGGTACGGTGGCGAAGGTTTACTGTTGCCGTCGTTGACGTGCAGCTCCGGAGACTCCTCCCTGAGGTGGCCGTCATCGACGCTGCCCACGCCGCTGTCCTGGCCGTCGTCACGGACCTGCCAACAGCCGCATCAGTCAATTGACGAACGTATGTTGGCGTCCTCTGCAGGGCACCTGCTGCTGGTTTCTTTCGCTCACCGGGTCGTGGCCGCCGGCTGTCTCCCAGCACTCGTCCCGTCCGCCGCCGTTTTCCTTGTCCGGCTCGAGGAGGATGCCCTCGTCGTGGTCCTGGCCAGGGGGGATGGTCAACCCCTCCGGCCCCCAGCATTGATCCCTCTCCCTCGCTCCCTTGTTGGTCGGTTTGCGGCTCCCCTTGCCGCTGGTGGACAGTCGCCGGGGCTTGGCGTGTCTGGCCGGGCTGCTCTGTGGCGACTGAGCCTGAGCCTGGACACGGTCCTGACAAGATGAGAACACATGGGCCCAAAATTAATTTATATTCAGACTGTACTCTGTACTATTGCAAACCATGGCTAGATGCACTCTGTTCTGGTAATTTGAGTTGAGGGGCCATCTTGTCCACTGTCAGACTGTCTCTTACCTCAATGGGGAATTACTGTACTGCGGGTGTATTGATATTGTTTGGTTTTGGGAACTATGAATGTGTAACGGGTGTGACCGAGAAGAGACGTCGGTGCAAGCAGGCTATCCTATTCGGTGGCACCATGGCGACTTTACAGCCGGAGATGGCAGGCAAGCCAGCATACACCGACGACGTCTTTTATACTACACCCAGGTAAGTAACAACATTTTTGAAGGTGAAGGAAGGTTGCATTTTTATTGTAAGTTCTTGGCGAAGGGGTGAAACCGACGGTGGACGCCATTTCTAGAACAGGCAGCTCTGCAATGGGGAGGAAAAGCAGTGGGGTGAACTCGGAAGGGCGGATGGCAGGGGAAGGTGAGCACCATGGCGAGCACGGGCACGGCCGTACCACGGAGGAGCGCACGGACAGCAGGCGCCCGGAGCTGCTGGTCAGCACGGGGACGCTGTCGTCCGCCTGTCGTTCCTTTCGTCGTCGGGGCCTGCGGGCCGGGCGCTGCACCGCGAAGTCCCGCTCGCACCCCAGGGTGGGCCTGGGCGCCCCCCGGCTCCAGTCGTGCTCCCGCTGTGGGGAAGGGGGAGGGTCGGGGAGAGCCGTCATGGGGCGTGGGGTGGCGGTGGAGGGTAGCGACCGGTCGGGAGGGTTAGGGAGGGGGGGGGGGCTGCACCACGCGCGCCCGCCGCCGCCCCAGACGCGACGGGCTCATGTCAATGCTTTTGCGTGCTGCAACGTCGTCGCGTCGTCCTGGGGGCCCGGAGCAGGCGGTGGGGCCTGGGGCGCGCCCCGCCCCCCTCCTCAACCCCATCACGATAATGCGCACACGCAGCTGGAAATAGCTTGATCCGGGAGCCATCTCGGCGCGCCCGCCCTCCCGCACTCACCGGCACTATGTTGTGCTGCTCGCGGTGCTCCAGCAGCCACTGCACGTCCCGGTCGGCCTCCTGGCGCCGGCGCTCCTCCTGCTGCTGGCGCAGCGCTGCAGTCAGCTCCTTGACCTGCTCCACGCGCTCCTTGACGGCGTCCTGCCGCCGCCGCCGCTCCTTGAGGAAGTCGACGGCCACCACGTCCTGCTCGTCAATGCGGTCGGCGTGCTCCACATAGTCCTGCTTGTTGAGGAAGTAGTTGCGGTGCTGAGGGAAGCCGGGGCCCTCGGCGACGAGCGAGTAGCCGGGGGCGCCGCGGAAGTCCTTGGCGGGGCAGGGCACGGGCCGCAGGCGCGGGTTGGGCTTGTCCCAGTAGCGCAGGCGAGCGGCCGGCCGCGAGGCGAGCTCGTTGGCTGCGAACACGTTCCGAATGTCAGTGCTACGTCGCTCGCTGCGCCCGCCCCAGCACTCCCGGACGCACTACTCACCGATGGCGCGGGTGATGCGCGGCGGCTGGTCGTGGGTGCCGATGTGGTTGTTCCAGGGGTTGCGGTTGGCTCGCGGTGCCCCGGGCAGGAAGTGGCCGCGGTCGTCGACGATCGGCTCGGTGGGCTTGAAGCTGAGCGGGTCGCGCAGCTTGCGCTCGGGGAACCATTTGGCCACCTCCCAGTTCCCGAGGCGTTTGGGCTGGAACTCCTGGTTGTACTGCAACATGAGCAAAAAGGAAGGAGGATTGAAAAAAATAAATAAAAAGTGCTGCTGATGGCGCTAAATGCAGTTTCAAAGTTTGGCGCGACAAGTGTGCTCCGTCAAACACTTGACAAGTGGCGTGGTTTGCATGGGGGAGAGAGAGAGGGTGCGGGCAGATGACCCCGGAGGGACAGCACGCGTGTTCTGCTCAATTACTCATTGTGACACTGTGGCAGGCTCGGGGAGGGAGGGGTGCCAGCGGGTCCGGCAGCAGGCTCGCTATAATAGGAGGATTACAATGTTAACGACACCTTCCCCTCCGCTGTGCAACTCCGTGGGGCGCACCCCAGTCTCAAATTGAAATCGACTGGCTTAACCGTCTGAAGTCCACGGCAAAAATTGAAGCAAGGAAGTAGGCGGTAAGAGAAGTGTAGTCTTTAACTGTAGGTTATGTTGTTCTATACAAAGTCACTCTGAAATCATATGAGATGAATATGTTAAAGTCATTTTTCCAAAGTTTTTTAAAGCCGCGTTCGTGTTGCGCTATACGAGTAGATTTTAAATACTAAATGAAGCCGTGAAATGGCACAATGGATCCTATTCCAACTCCACTTGTCATGTTCGCCGAGTTTCTCATCTCATACGCGTTGTCAGTATCCTCTTCCTCTCCCATCCTCCCCTCCCTCCCCCGCCTCCTCCCGCCTCTTATACTGCACGGCATATGGCCTTTAGCCAAAGAATTCCACCCCACCCCATGCCCCCGCTTTATCCGCGGGATTAAAAAACACCCGTAATGACTTTAAACAAATGTCGCGAGGACTAGACGGAGGATGTCTCTCCATACAGACCGGGTTCGGGGGCAGGGCGCTGTTTGTTCTCCTGAGCCTGAGCCGGGCCCGGGACAGGCCTAATGGGCCGGGCCGGGCTTACGGTTCGTAATTTGTATCCGCGGTCATGTCGGGCAGGCTTGCGCCGAGGCTTGCGCCGAGGCTTGCGCCCACCTGCCGCCCCCGCGGCGCTCACGTCGAGGCCGCGCCTTCATCGCGTGCCCGGCGCCGTGGCGCCTCATGACTTACGGCGGCGGGGCGCGCATCTCCAGGGACAAAGGGCCGACCTGCGGGGGCACCAACCGCCATGAGGCCCGACCGCGACGAGTCCCGCTTGGCAACATGAGACAAGAGAGCTCTCTTGCCTTCTCTCTGCGGCCTCTAAGCCTTTTTGCGGCCGCCGTTGTACCGGACTACATTATTGCAGATGTGGGTGCCTGGCCGTGCTTGTCGCGTTACTCCGCGGCACGCCACGACGTCCCGCATAGAGATCTGTTGAATGGCATCGCGTGAGATGAGCCGAGCCGAGTGCTGGCGTGGCCGTGGCGGTGAGCGCGGCGGGGAGGACGAGGAGGGCCGCGGAGGATCGCGTCGAGTGCGCGCTCCAAGCGCGACACCCGCAAAATAAACCCTTTCCTCCGTTTCCCCCTCCCCTTCCCAATACCAGGTGGCTGATTCACGCCGCGCACTTTCGTATTTATGCTGTACCGCATGCACGGGTGCGAGCGGGTTGCCTACTCACACGGGGCCATAAGGAGCCGTGGGCAGCGTGCATAGGCAAACCCACCTGGACCCGTGCATGCGGTACAGTATAAACTACAAAAGTGCGCGGCGTGAATCAACCACCTGGTATAAGCTACCCTACAATGAGAAAACTGTTACTCTCTGGAGTACCGTCGTATGGCCCGCCCCTACAGGGTGGGTGTATTTAAGCCGTGCCCCCTTCTGGTTATACTGTACCGTCTGTACCACATGCAGGCGTGCGAGGCGGGCTTGCCCACCGACTCTCACCACGGCGTCACACATGGCCCGTGCGAGTATGACCAGAAGGGGCCGGGGCTTAGAACACCCACCCCACCCTGTTCGTTTTTGTCTCGTTCAAAAACTATTCACGGCCCGGCCAACAATTCCTCAGTCTCCTCAGTTCTAACTGAATATTTTGGGATATTAGCGCGTGACTCGTCCCAGACCTATCGGGTCGCCGTTATGCAGCACGCGCTCTATTCATTGCTTTCCAATCCTCCCCACCCCCAGGTCAGGGTCGTCAGCCCAGGCGCGCGCCGCCCGCCGCCCCGCCAGCCTTCCGCCGCACAACACGACCGCAAAGACGCGCGCCGCCGAGGTTTTAGCGGAACCCTGCTCATGGCATTCACGGCCATATCGTGGCGTGGAGTGGCGGCGTGCCGGAACCGGAACCCAGCCACCGGAAGTGTAAACAGAAACAAGAAGGCCCCGCACTAGCGCCACAGGGATCCGGTGCCGGAGCAGCCGGTGAAAGGGTTGGTGATGGGAACCAGCTGCGGGCTGCCTGCTGATCTTCTGGTCGTACAATACTCATTTCCATGTTTCTTTACATTCGGTTTTCACACGCGAAGAGAATGGGAAGGGCGGGAAGGGAGGGGAGGGTGGGGGCTTCCTACTGATCAGAGCGAATCGCATGGGGAGGGAAGGG